CAGACCACTTACAAGGGAACACCCATCAGAATTACAGCAGATTTCTCTGCACAAACCATCAAATCACGAAGAGCGTGGGGGGAAGTAATTCAAGCTTTGAAAGATAATAATCTCCAGCCAAGATTGAGATATCCTGCACAACTGTCCCTGGAAATTGATGGAAAAACAAGGTGCTTCCAGGATAAAGAGGAACTGGGGGAATTTGCAACCACCAATTCAACTCTACAGAGAGTATTGCAGGATATTCTAAAAAAAGAAAAATACAAAGAATCCAGAAATAGTGGCAGGGAGGCCACAACGAATGGAGCAGAGAACAAAATGAAGAAGACAAACTGACAACTAATGACAGAAAAAGAGCTCAACAGAAATGAGGCAGAGAAGATTGGATGATAGGAACAGCTATTTTGGAGAAAATGACATCTTAATAGGTAATACTGATTTAGTATCATCTTGTTTTGAAGTCTCATCTAGCTTTTGTCCTTCTGTCTCCAATGGTCTAAATAGGTTGTATCTTACTGGATTTTATTATGTACGATAGTATAAGCAAAAACCTTTTAAAGACAAGGAGATTATACAGAAACCATTGTTCATTTTCTGTTAGTCGATTCTAAATACTCTGTAATGTTGTCATTCTCTTAAATGGTTTTACATTGTTTTGATATACTTAATGCTACAGTATACAAAGTTGTACTCAAGGATTTCAAGGAAAGAGACAATATGGTAACTACTTTTAGGTCAGGATTATCTGGTGGTGAAACACTATTCTGTTTAAATGGTTATGTTTTGATCTGTGCTGTTTCGTTGTTATGCCCTCTTTTATCTCAATCTCCACTTCATTATTTACTTTTTTATTTTTATCCTTTTAATTAAAGGAAAAAAAATAGCAGGATATATTATAGTAACCCACTTTGACTTTCCATTACCTCGATTTAAAGCCCTGTATTACTCTCACCATCTGGTTTTTAACTGAAGTTCCCCTATTCTGTTTTGCTGGATAGTATCAGGTTCGAAAATTTAGGCATCAGCTGTGAAGATAATGAGATTCATTATAACGCCCATTCTCGTTGACTTTTATCTACTTTTGAAGACCTACAATGTCTCCAATGTTTTGGTTTTGTCAGTTTTATTCTTTACTGTTTTGTTCAATTGTATTATAACTAACGATATAGGCAATTCTATTAGAGATAGCGGGAGGCATTATGGTAACCATTGTTGATCACCTTGTATTATGTTTTCACATTTTCTATTATGTCCACCCTTTTGACTTGACCGATTCTGTTCTGTTATGTCACATTTGGTTTTACTCTCTTCCAAAAAAGTAATAAGAACCGTGGGAGCAATGAAACCCAAAATGTGTAATAGTCATTGTACAAAAGAGAGGAAAAGAAAGTGCTCTAAACTATATAACTGCATGTATATTTAAGTGTATAAGATAGAAAATGATATCACAGAGTTTTATTGGATCATTGAACAGAACTGTTTGCAGTATCATTGATGGAATGTCCACTTTACAAGCTTTAATTTTGTGACTTGAACAATTATTTCTAAGATGACAATATGTAATCCATTAACTAGTGATTTCCTACTGTTCATTTTTTTTCTGCAAATCTGTATAACTTGTACCCTTTCTCTGCTTTTTTTTTTCTTTTCTCCTTAAATAAAATTAAAAAAAAAAAAGAAAGAAATCTGGAGACGAACTAATGCCACTAATGCTGAAGCTCTTTACAGAAATGGAGAGGGAAGCAGTGCTTCCAAAATCATTCCTGGGAGCAAGTATTACTCTGATTCCAAAACCAGAGATGAACCCAACTAAAAAAAAAATAAAGCTACAGGCCACTCTCCCTAATGAACACAGATGCAAAAATCCTCAATAAGATGCTGGCAAACAGAATGCAACAAATCATCAAGATTATACACCTTAGCCAAGCAGGATTCATCCAAGAGATGCAGGAATGGTTCCACACATGCAAATCAGTAAATGTAATGCACTATATCAACAGAACCAAAGACAAAAATCACTTGATCAACTCAATAGAGGCAGAAAAAGAATTTGACAATGTGCAATATCCATTTGTGATATTGCACATTTTTAGAGTTTTAAAAACTCTAAAAAATTTGGATAGATGGTATTTATCTCAATCTCATAAAAGCTGTCTATCACAACCAGTAGTAGCTAACATCATCCTAAATAGTCAAAAACTGAAAGCTTTCATTCTAAAATCAGAAACAAGATAAGGATGTCCACTGTCACCAGTCCTATTCAGTGTAGTTCTGGAAACATAGCCAGAGCAACTAGACAAGAGAAAAAGTAAAAAGAATAAGAATATAAAAGGAAGAAGTTAAATTATCATTATTTGCAGACGACATGATACCCTACATAGAAGACCCCAAAAACTCCACCAAAAGACTTGTAGACTTAATAACCAAATTTAGCAGTGTAGCTGGATATAAAGTCAACACGCGAAACTCAAGAGCAGTTCTGTAAACAAGCAACAAACACAGAGAGAAATTAGAGACACCACACTCTACAACAGCATCCAAAAAATCACAGTAACAATGCACAATGTATTAACACCATTCTCCTACTAGCCTGTTTTGAAACTCTTTTTTGTCATTTTTATTTTTTCTCATTAAAATAAAAAAGGAAGAGAGAGAGGAAGAATTTCCTAGTTTTCTGATAGTCCATATTACTCAGGGAGTTCTTCAAGGGAATATAGTTGCGTATTCATCTATAAAGTTTATAACTCATACATCTGTTTGAAAAATGCCTATGCTGCTTTTATGAGCCTATGAAATGTTTTAATTTCCCTTAAAATCAGAAGCAAAAAAATGAACTTTTGGGTCAGAGTGTATGTTCAAAAGTATAATATTAGTATCTGTCTTTTCAGCAACTAGGCCTGAAATGTAACTGTTAACACTTTTTAGGAAACATGCCCCACAAAGGTAGGTATTTGTATCCTGAGTTTTGGGTCTGCTTGGGATGTAATGTCCGTGAAGTTTTGCCCATTAGAAATGGTGGCGATGGAATTAAAAACGGTGAGTAAATACATGAAAACAAGAAGGTCTAAGGAGGACCCGGGCGTGAACCACAGCGAGGGTGCAGCCCTGAGTCAGTGTCCGGCTGTTCCTGAAACTGTGCTGGGTAACTTACAAGGGAGAGTGGAAAAATTCAAACCGCTAGCTGTAAGAAACGACCCCGGCAGACTCACCGACAGTGAGACAGAATGTTTCCAGGGAGCGTACTAGGTGCCTCTGGAGCTTTCTAGACACCTTTTCTAATGTTCAGTAACAAAATCAGTCACCCCATCGCACGTCAACACCAGACTCAAATGCAGCCCTTTCTCTTGCACGGTGCTGCTGCTACTTTGCCCCTCACAAGTCTTATTTTGGGCTCCACTCAGCGGTTGGCTTCTTAGTTTTCCACACTGTCATTATTTGATGGATTACGCGGCTGAATGTGAACATTCAGTGAAACCACCAATAAAGAAGCTCCTGGGAAGTCAGACAAGAGCATTCTAGCTTCATCAGCTACATGAATGTATGAGCATGTGGCCCGGAATTCCTGGCCCACTGGTATTATTTTCTGGGTAAGTCTGTGATGAGCCCATGCAAGCAGTTCAGTCCTTTCATAGTTTCCTAAATTCTTTTAAATAAAAAACTCGAGGAATGTTTTCGCAGTTAAGCTGAGTGTGTTGAATGTTTGGCTAAAATACAGAGTATAACTGGAACAGAGAATCCAGCCAGGACGCTTGGTAAGGAAAGAACCCTGGTGTGTGACAGGTGTGACTCACAGGGCACCAGCAATGCAGCTGGCGGTACCACTGCCACACCTGGACCTCAAGGATATAACAGTCTGTGACGCACAGCGGGTGGGAGAGCCCAGCACACAGCAGACAGAGCCAGCCAGAAGGGGCTGCCTCCTGCAGAGAAGCCGGCCAAGAGGACAGGATGGGAAACGAAGAGCCCAAGACCTCGGATCCTGAGAGGCACAGAGCTAGATACCCACAGGGGACATCAAGCGAACGGGAAGGGACACTGCTAAAGTACCAACCAGCAGAGAACGGGAGGGTACTTTCAGGAAAGCTGAAAGACTCGATTTTCCGAAGTCATAGGTTTCAGACACTTCCTTTCTAACGTAAGTGGCTGGGGGTTCAAGCGACCCTTTAAATACTGCCATGGAGCAGGGACTGGTCCCTCCGTGGGTGCACTGTCTGTGGCCGCTTTCCTGCTCTAAGGACAGTTACTGCGTGGTCTCCCGGCCCTCAGGCTTGTCACACGAGCTCCATGACCCTTAGGAAACGTTTGCTGACTCTGGCTTTAAGGAATTCTATAAATTTTTATATGTTCTGTTTTTATTATAATTCAGTTCAAAATTCCTATATACTGAGTCTACTCCCCAAAAAGATTGAGAGAATTCTAATGACCAAAGAATGATAAACAAAAATGAGGGAGATCTAACTTTAACTCTTTAAGATACACAAAGAGTACATTACCATCTCTAAAACACAAACAATTAAGTATGGTGTTTTTATTTTACTGTAGGAAAAAATATCTATGAATAATTTTAAGGGCGTTCAAAGAATTTAAAATCTTCATTTTCTGGCCCTTATAACAGTTTAAAATTCTTTAATATTTAATTCTTCTACCAGAATTAAGAAGGAAATCCCATATCTCCAGTAAAAGAGGACTGGTCATTTTGTTCTTAATATTAGAAAATACTTGCATCCCTACAATATAATTAATAATACACTACAACTAAACAGACTGTTATCCGATCACTTCTTTCTTTACTTAGCAGTTTGCGGATGGCATCCAGGCCCAGCAGCAGAGACAGAGAGCGGGTCACCCTGTGTCCCACCCTCGAGTGTCTCCTGTGAGCAGCTGGGAGACAGGATGCTAATGAAGGCTGACAAAGGATTCTAGGAAAGCAGGCAGGGCGGGCAGAGCGCTGGGCACGCTGCGCTCCGACTCACTGGCGGGAGCCCCGCCTGCGCACATACCATCTTCCTCAGCTCCTGGTTGGAGACGATGATGACGTTTGGGGGGTCCCCAATGGCGGTGGCCGCTCCTCCAATGTTTGTGAAGATCACTTCTGCAATCAGCACTTGTCTTGGATCAAGGTTGAGCACCTCACACAACCTACCATGAATGGGGAAAAGTGAAAATAGTGCCCACGCACACACCCACACACACACACCCACGGGAAGGACAATGCTGGGAAATAAGCAGGGGAGTGATGCCCATCAGCTCCAGCAGACTCTGAGAATTAACCTGCTGCCCTCTGAAACTCAGGGGTGGGACTACACCCTTCCCTGTCCCGCATGTCTGCGGGAACACAGCCACCTCCAGGATCCTGACGGAGCCCAGGGCACTGCGGTGGGACTTGGCCACCTGACCTGTCTAAGTAGGGTGGGGCACGCCAAGCCTGGCCACTTGGGCCTTTACCTGCCCTGTGTGCTCTGCCCTTCCTTCTCCGATAACTCCTAAGTGTTGGCTTCCTCTCCTGAGAAGGGCTGCATGCTGAGCCCTGCTTCCACCTGCAGCGGGCCAGCCCCTGGGTGTGAGCCCTGCAGCACCCCTCAGCACCCCAGGGAGGCTGTGCACACGGGTGCGAAACACTGCTCCAAAGAAAAGAGCCATTTGTAGAAAAACGGGTGTACCTTGAGACCATAACGTGAAGTGAAATAAATCAGACACACGGGCTTAAGTATGGCACGGTTTCTCTTCTATGAGAAACCCAAACTATAAATAAATTATCCAGCACAATAAATGACAGATGGTAGGAAACAGGGAGAGAGGCCAATTGTAAATGAGAAGGGGACCAAGGGACGGAGGGAGGGAGAGGAGGAGCGGAGGAGGGACAGGGGATGAGAATTAGGGTGTACTATGTACACACCTCGACTCCTGGTGAGAAATGTAAACACCACACACCGCAAACAGGGACCAGTAAACACATACATCACAGCCCCCATCCTCCATGTGGCTCCTCCTCACCGCCTGTTAGGGTTTCTATGTAGATGTCCCCCCAAAGCCTCATGCACGCACGGCAGGGGTTTGGGAAGGTGATTGGATCATGGGCCTGGAGCCGGCTTGCTGGTTAGAGGTGGATGGGGTAGGAAGAGGTGGTCACGGGGTGTGGCCTGGATCTACTCTCTCCCGCTTCCCCCCATCCCTTGCCTCTTCTCCCCAAAGCCACGCCCTGAGCACTTTCTCCTCTGCTGTGACCCCAGAGCCAGGCAACTGTGGCCTGAAACCTCTACACACTGTGAGCCGAAGGGAATCTCTCCTCCTCAAAGCAGTGGGTGTCGGATCTGTGGCTCAGCAACAAGAAAGTAACTAAGACACTGCCCTCTCCCCATCACACCTGGGCAGCGGGTCTGGTCCTTCGGTGAAGCCCTGCTGCAGCCCGTGGCCTCCCCATTACCACCTGCCTCAGCTCAGAGCAGGGCCAGCCACACGGCCTCCCCGCCACCAAGGCAAGGGCAGACAGGCCCAGCAGAACTGCATGCTCTGGGAAAGGGCAGCGTCTGGTCGCCAGAAGCAGGATGCCTCAGCTAATGAGCGTAAGACCCCAGGTAGCAGCCTCTCTCAGAGGGGGAATATCCCAGGATCTGCTTTTCACATGAAAATAATCTGCATGGACCACTCAGCAACACCAGACAGCAGAGACTGCCTCAGATCCACATGGGCTCAACTCTGATGCTACCCTGCCCTAAGACACAAGATGTGATCAGTGACTACAAAGTCATGAAGAGTATTGTTATAAACAGTGAATCTAGACCACCAGCACTTGAGAGAAACAGAGAGAGAGAGAGAAAGAGAGAGAGAGTGTGTGTGTGTGTGTGTGTGTGTTAAATTGTGAGGCAAGTTCTTGCTCAGTTATCTAGGATGGTCTCAAATTTACGGTCCTTCTGCCTCAGCCATCTGAGTAGCTGGCATTACAGGAGTATCCCAGCACACCCTGTGTTCCAGTTTGTGTCTAGACGTCTTCCCAAAGCCTCATGCAGACATCAGGTTCTTTCAGAGGTGGCTGGATCTGGAGTGTGTGATGCTGAGATCATCGGTGTGTGACCAGCAAATCACTCCACGATTGGTTTGGCGTAGTTCTGCTTAGGATGAAGGGTGTGAATGCAGCTGGTAGCCTGCGTACAAGGTTAGGGACCGGAAGAGTCTTGTCTCGCTCTCCCTTGTTGCTTTTTTGCTACCTTGTGGGCACCATGAACTATTGCCCCTGTGCCACGCCACCCTGCTTTGGAGCCAGCTGATTATGAACTGAAACCTCCACAGACTGTGAGCTAAATAAACCTTTCCCTGGTTAAACTTTGAGTCTGGATATTTTGTCCCTGCAATTAAAAAAAGTAACTAAGATACCCAGCTGGCATCTAAGTCTTGAAGATATAATTTTTAGATTAATAAATGGAATTGATTTTCTCACAAAATTAGGAGAAGGTGACTGGGGTCAGCAGCAGATCACGCTCACTAGAGGAGGGCAGTTTGGACCCCTGGAGTTCCCAGGAGGCACAGGTCAGTCCCTTGAGCAGTGCAATCAGCTTCCTGCATCTTTTTCATGTGTTCACCTCATCCGTCCTTTACCCTCAGCCCTGAACACTGAGAGGTGCTAAGCCTCACCTTGCAAAAAAAGGCTGAGGTCCTGCATCTCTCATCCCAACTCCCCCAGTGCCCAGGGCTCATGACAGTGGGGCGAGGGTTGGAGGACCTGGTCAAAGTCCACGTCTCCACATAGGGAAGAGGTGGACTTGGGATGCTGCAGGCTGCATCTACAGGGCAAGGAGTACCTTCCCTCTTGTCTCCCTCCCCACACCCCTCTCCTCTCCAACCACTGCTACTCTTCAAAGTATGAAAGTGCCCCCCAGAATTCCCAGAATGCCTTGCAAGCAGCCTCTTGCTGGTGACCCAACTTGCTCTATGCCTCAGGCCTTGTGTCCAGCAGGTGTCTTGTCTCCCAGGATCCTCAGCATGCTGTCTGCAGTAAGCCCTTCAGTGATACAGTTCATAACAGCACAGCACAAGACCTCATGCCCAAGTAGGACCCCTGCTAGTATTCGCCCCCTACCATGAACTTCTGAAGGGGCATCCATCCCACTCTCTGGTCATTCCCAAGACCAGCTGAGCACCAGCACATGGTGGGGCCAAGCTGGGGAGGACCAGGTTGAGGAGCCTGAGGCTGACACATGGAGGAATCATCTTAAAGAACTTAAGTGTGGGTACAAACACAGGTCCACGCCCTCAGAAGGGGCTCACACACAACAGGCCAAGACCGAACCTCCAGCTTCAAAAGACGCTGGGCCACCAGCTGGTGATATGAGGTAAATGCCAGATAACTGAAGCAGGTGTGTGGTACTGGCAATGAACCCAGGGCTTGGCACAAAAGCTCCTCCCCAGCCCTTCTTCTATTTTTCAAGATAAGGTCTAGGTGACAGTATAAGGGTCTACATTGTCTCCTATGACAGCCTAATCTCGAGGAAGCCAGGATTATGTTTTCTATCTCCTCTCTGGTATTTCTGCCAGTGCCAGCGAGTCAAATGGAGGGACGGGTGAGCACTGTCCACTGCTTTGAGTGGCCGTAAGAAGAGAGCCGTGTGGCAGGTGGTGTGGTCACAACACACAATTGCTCTGAGGTGGTGACAGCGGGGGTACATTCTGCATACCTTATTGTTACTGGAGTGAAGAGGAGCATTGTGGTGACATTGTCCAAGAAGGCAGAAAGGACAGCGGCGATGAGACACAGCATGATGATCATGGCCCACACACGCCCCCGGGAGAGTCGGTACGCCTGGGTGTACACACATGGGAAGGAACAAGCCAGAGTCAGAGCGTTTCCAGAAGAGATACTGCTTCTCATCAGTGACTCCACAGAATAGAGACCTCAACAAACACCGTGAGATGGGTTAAAGCTTGGAACCTCTGGAGTCTTACACCTGCTAAGATCAGGTGCTGTGGACCAACTGGCCACCACTGTGCCCAGGAAACCTAAACCCTGGCTTGTGTTTTCTCTTCTCTCCTCCTGATGCTTTGTCTTCACAGTGCCCAGAGATGATTAAATGTGTTGTAAAATGTCAACCATTGATCTCTTTCTGGCTATTTAGAATTTGATTAACGGCTTGAGCTACAGCATTTGGGGTCTCTGATGTTTGCTCATCATTGGGATCTGAGGGATTTTTTTAGTGCTAAGTATTAGGAAAAAGAAGCCAGTTATCCAATCATAATGTGCAAAGTGGTGCACAAAGTGATAAAAATCACACCACTGTTCTCTTATTTGGAGTTTGCAAAAGGCTCTGTTGAGTACATTATTTTTAAGAGAACATTTCCAATCCAAAAACACTATCGAAGTCAGTACCAGGCCTTGCACTAGCAGGGCAGGGCAGGCTCTCCTCTTGCCAGCCACCCTACCAAAGCCAGCGCACACCCAGGAGCCAGGCCTGCTGGCAGAGCACAGCAGGCTTCCAGGTTAAAATCACAAATTAAGATCAAAATGAGTCATCAGTTCACGATGATTAGAATGGGCCCCTCAAAAAGACGAAAAATAACAAGCATTGGGGAGATCGTGGAGAAAAGGGAGCTCTTTCACAGTCGGGGCAATGAAATGAGTACAACCCTGGAAAACAATGTGGAGCTTACTCAGAAACCAAAATGGAGCTGCCCTGTGACCCCGCAGCGTCACCCTGGGCATGCAGCCAAAGGAATCGAGTCCGAGCACTGGAGACACCTGCACCAGGCACTGGGAAGGACTGCTCACAGCGGCCAAGACACGACGTCAGCTATGTGTGCTTCAGCAGACGAGTGCATGAAGACAGCATGGTAAATTCTATCCACCCCACAAAGGGCCCCGCGATGCTCGCCGGCTGTGGTGCACACTCATCACCACAGCACTGAGAGCGGCCGAGCAGGAAGATCCCAAGGCCGGCCAGGCTGCTTAGTAAGGTCCCATGTCCGAAGATAAAAAGAGATAGGGATGGATTCCCAGAGCATCCCCTGGGTACAATCACGAGTGCCACAATTGTGGGGAAGGGTTTCTGCCATTTTCAACAGCATAGATGGAACTGGACTGCATTATGGTCAAGTGAAATAGGCCAGGCACAGAAAAACAGATCCCGAATATTTTCCCTCATTGGTGGAATCTTTTAAAGTTTGTCTGCTATGAGTAGAGAACAGAAGATGAAGGCTGGTAGGAAGATGCTGGAAGATGGGGAACGGGAAGATGCTGATCTAAGGGAACAAAACTTCAGATACAAGAAAGGAAGAGATTTTGAACACATTTTGCAAGCACAGTGACTATAATTAATACAGTGCAGTATATATTTCAAAATAGTTGACAGTAATTTTCTAATGTCTCACCACAAAAATATTATAGGTGATCAAATAATGGAAATATTAATTAGCCACACTGTGTATGCATACAGTGAAACATCACACTGTGCCCTTTAAATGCATACGATTATGATCCACCAATCAAAAACAATTCCAATACGGAGTGGAGCTCAGGGGCAGAGAGGCCCTAGGTTCAGTCCTCAAGACCAAAATATAAACAAATGCACAGGATCTTCAAGGGATTTCTGAAACTAACACGTTTTCCCCTGACTTAGAAATGGTGAGTGTGTAATGTTTGCATCCCACATTTGGAAAGTAATTATCGAAATGCTTTCTCAAAAAACAAAATAATCAGAAGCCAATGGCCTGCAATATTCAGAGGTTATAACGTACAAAACAATGTTTCCGGTGTCCTCTCACCAGCCATTCTAAATAGTAACCACCCACTCAGCCCGAGAACTCTCCCTGATCTTCAGCTTCATTTATTTACGGAGAAACCAGAAACATTGCTGAAAACCATGCTAAGCACAGCAACTGTACTCAGCTTCGTGAAAGCAGCTTTAAAAAGCGTGAGATTTCAAAGTATCTGTTTGAATTAACTGCTACTTTAATTTATAAAAGGTTGAATATATAAATTAGAGCATAACTATTAAATGCACAGCATACTTACCTTTACAGCACAGTAATCGAAAAATCCAGTTTCTGAAAATACAGCTACTAATATCATCTACAGGGAGAGAGACAAAAGAGACAGCAGGTCACTTTGGCAGAACATCACGCCAAAACGTCAGCCTTGTGCTCTGACGTCTGTGTCTGACTAGTGACAGACTTGGGCTCTGGCCTCCGAAAGCCCCATAACCAAGCTCCTGCATGTCTTGCTGAAACCAGATTTCTTCATTTGTCCACTTATTGGCTTCTCGAGTAGATCTTCTTGCAAGCTGTTTATATTTTGTCCAGGAATTTGTTTCTAAGGAACATTATCACCTCACCTAACCCTCACACCAAACACCGTGTGTCATCATTACTGGCTGTGTGACCATCACTACCTTCTGTTCTGTAGACCAGGAAGCCAGGAACCAGAGAGGTGAGGCTTTGCTGGGTCTCAAGGCTGGCAGCAAGGAGGAAATGGGCCAGCAGCAACTTTGCCCATCTGATCGTCTCACGTGGGCAACACTGAGACATTTCAAGATTTTAAAACTGGGTTAGATTTTGGTTCCTAAAGTAATTAAACTAAGTTTTGCTGCCAATTTGATCAAGTATGCAAGTAGGGCAACTGTACAGAAGTTAGAATCCTCCCAGTTCTATGTGAGCCTGCAACTCTCAGATCTACTGATAAGATTTGGTATAAACAACCAGCCTCACTATTAATAAAAAGCAAAGATCCAGTCATCCCCAGTCACCGATGACCAGCCTGAACTTGCTGAGAGGTTTTCTACATCATCAGAGGCGAAACACAGCACCACTGAACTTCTTTAAGCTTATTGTACCTGTTACCCTCCCTTCCTCCCCACAGATACCCAAACCCTGGTGCTCCTCAGGGCCCAGGGCAGAGCCTGGCTCTGCTGGGAGCTCCATGCCACTTCCTGTACCCACCCACCTCACCACACGCTGAGTTGAAGGCAAGATGCTGATTCAAGCTCTGACTCTGCCACTGTGGAGCAGTTCAGCCTTGAGACAACAGAATTCTTAATCCTTCTGAGCTCCAGGCTTCTCACCTCACTTCTGAATGTTTCCTACCTTGAAAGGTAGTTGCAAAAATTCAACAAAGCTATGTAAATTAAAGTACTTTATAAACAGCAGCCTAACATTGTCTTTCTAACAAATCCTGCTAAACAGAAATATTTATGTTGTCCATCCTAACCTGAAAGGCTGCTGGGGGTTTGTGCTTCACACACCAAAGATTCACGTGGGCATGCAGGAGCGCACATGTGTGGGTGGAGGCCTCGTGTGGTCGGGGGAGCGGTTCCCCACTGGCCAACAGAACACCCAGGAGAGATCAGAACTCGGGGCTTGGGGTAAATGGCCCCATGGACGGTTGACTAACAGAAAATAGAAAAGGAAAAGAACTGGTGATATATATTTTCTTTGCATCTCTATTGTTCTAGAATCAGAACTTGCAAGTGCTTGGTAGCCAATTTCAATCAAGACAAAAGCACAGTAGCCATTTCTATGAGCTGAGTTGTCATCCAATCAACCAAATTCATGCACTGGTACCCTAACCCACAACACGTCAGCATACGCACTTGGAGACAGGGCTTTTAAGGGGGAATTAAATTAAAATGAGATCACTAGGGAAGACAACTAGTGACTTAATGCAGTATAACCAGCATCAATCTAGGGTAAGAGCAGGACACAGATACATTTGGAGGAAGGCCTCTGAGGACACAGGGAGGAGATGGCCATTGACAAGCCAAGGAGGGAGACCTTGGAGGAAACTGACTCCGCTGATACCCAGTCTCAGGCTTCCCGAGCCTCTGATGGCAAGAAGTCAGTTTTTGTTGTCACAGCCCCACGGTCTGCGGTGCTTTGCTATGGTAGTTCTAGCAAGCTAACACATCACTCATTTAAATGTTTAAAATCTCCTCTTCTTCCATCCAGACAAATCCTGTGCTTCTCAGTGCTCAGCAGAAACACCTGTTCTTCAGGGAAGCCTCGGTTCAGATTGTCCTGCCTGCCTTCCACAGGGGATGTGGGCACACCTGGAGTCACCCAGAAGCCCAGAGTAGCAGGACTCTCCACGTAGCTTTCAACCTCGGCAGAGATCAGATGCCAGCAAGGATAATGAGGATCTGCAGTGGCCTGTCCTACACAGAGTGGCCCAAGGAGACAGACTGTCTTTCAGACCCCAAGGTCTGAAAGGTCTGACCCCAAGGTGATTCTGTTGAAGAACTCATTCCCTCTGTGGTCTAGGTCCTTCCCAAATTCCACTTATTCTAGCTACGCTGGCTTATGGGAAGTGCTCCACACTAATCCACTTTGGCATTTAAGTCTGACAAATTGACTTGGTGGCATCTTCACAGTGTGCCGCAGCATGGCCACTTGACAATAAGATAAACTAGCAAAACACAAAAACTGTCAGGGCCAATTTATTTCTCTATATAATTAAACGTACTTTTCTAATCACTGAACTTTTGCATGGTGCACTTATTTGGGGCTATGCTATTTTTTATTTTAAGAGTAGTAACTCAAAAAATGCTAACTTTTCTTGACGGTAACATCACTTCACTGTTGTGCAGATCTTCAGTAAAATTCTCCAGCTAACTAATCAAGCGCCAGCCAACCCATTCTCTCCTAAAGAAATTAGCTGGACTCGCACTATCATTTCTCAGTCAAGCCCTAACTGTCAGGAGACACAGCATCTTTAACATAATGATAGGATTATGAGCCATGGCAGCGGCAGCAACAGGAGCAAAGGATCTGGTTTCAGCAGGCTGGAGTGATGTCCTCCTGCTGGGAGGGTGTAATTACCATGCCAAACAGCAGGGTCAGGGTCTCAAAATCAATCCACTCCACCACCTGGGTCAGGCTGGGTCTCTGCAATCAAAGCACAAATTTGCCAATTAATCCTATGACCACCCTCCTGGGGATAAGCTCAAAAAATGCTGCCCGTTACTCTGAATGCACTCATTAGACAAAGCTGAAAACACACCAGCTGCATGCTTTTGAAGTTGGATTATACCACTGCCGAAACAGAGGTATGACTCATTCCGTCTATGCTGTTAAACCTATATAATAACGTAATTTTAAGGAAAATAACCCTACCTCTGGAAACTGGGGAAAAACTGTTGCCTGAATTGCAGGGTTGAGCCTTGAGGTTAAGGCCACAGTTTGGAGCTGCAGTGTCCCCACCAAGGCCTGTGTGTGCCTGTTCTCCAAGTCCTGGTGCTACTGAGAAGTAGTGGAAGGATAGCAGGCCCCGTGGCAGGAGGCTGGGCCAGGCGGGACCTGCAGCAGAAGGGGCTGCAGGGTGCCGGTCTCTTCCGAACTCTCTTTGCCCCCCAGCCCCACTAGCCGAGCACACACTCCTCTCTGCCACACTCTTCTGTGCCACGCACTCCTGCCAAGATTTACTGCTCACCACAGGACCAGAAGCACTGGGGCCAAATAACTATGAGACCTTGAAAACCGTGAGCCAAGAGAAACATTTCTTTTTAAGTGCGCTATTTAGATGTTTGTTACAGCAACACAAAACTGACCCATACAGTTATCGTCCTAGCAGAGTCCACATATACCTTGCTCCTTGTAACGGCACAAGGTCAGGTGACAACAATTGGGATAGTTTCTATGTCCTGCGCCCATGTGCCCCTACTCTGAGGGTCAAAACAGCGGCAAACTTTTCAGAGCTTTCAATGATACGTGCAGCCTGCTGTGGCATGCGTGCCATAGGCTCCCCTCCACTGAGCTCAAATGTCTCCCCCAAATCCTCATGAATGTGAAAGGCCACTGGTCAGGAGGGTGCTGTTCACTGATAAACATGATGTTAGCAGGCAGCACCTGGTTGAAGGTGGGGCACTGAGGCACCACCCATGCCCCGGCTTCTCCCTTTTCTCTCTGGTTCCTGGCTGCCACCGGCTGAACAACTTTCTTCTGCCATACGTGTCCACCATGCCAGTGCTGCCTTGGAGCCAGCTGAGCATGGACCGAAATTCTGAGTTAAAATAATCTTTTCCTCCTTTAAGTTGCAAGTGTTGAGTGTTTTGTCCCAATAACAGGAAAGTGACTAAGACAGATTTCAATGCCAGGGAAGGGAGATTGTTGCTGTGTCTTTACCTGACCAATGGTTTAGAAGACTTCAGAATTTGTTTCCAGGATGCCAGAATTTGTTTGGGAAGGCTTGGAAAAACAAGCTAGAGAATCCTCAGAATGTTGTGAACAGTGGTTAATGTGCAATACTGGTCAGAGCTCAGAGGACCAGAATGGTAATGGAAATGTAGAAAGTAAAGGCCAGGCTCAGGTGGTTTCACTTAGAGCAAAGACAGCATTCAAGCATACACACAGGGAATGTGTGAAATGCGCTGGCAGAAAATTTGTCCACATTTTGCCAAAATTCTAAGACTTTGCAAGAGAACTTAAGAGTAGCAAACTCATCAGGCAGAAGAAATTTCAAAATAGCCCAACATTCAGGTCATAGAATGGGTCCTGTTGATTTCTTTTGGCCAGATTCATTCTGAAAATCAGCAGTGAAAAGCATTTGAAAAGTTTTCAGTTTCACCAGAAAGGAAGCTCCTTCAAAGTTAAGACAAATGAGCATAGATGCTAAAAAAAATTAGTATTTAAAAAAAGTCAAAGACTTCGAATCAGGGAAAAAAAGAAAGTTTTTTGAAGGCATCTTAGGAATAATCAAGACCCCAATTCATCTCAGGGTCAAGCATGCGAAGCTATCAAGCTTTCATATGAGATCCCTAACGTGTTTTATTCATTCAGGGACACAGAGGGAAACATTTCCTGCAAGTCAGCCACCCAGGCGCTCCTAAGCTGCTGCAGCCGTGATCCCAAGGACCTGCCCATCTCCTACTGCTCGAGCTGGGGGCAGACTTTGGCATCAACCCCTTGGTGCTGGTTTTTCAGATATGCAAGAGGCAAGCATTATGGGGTCAAGGAGGTTACTACCCAAATTTCAAAGGAAGGCTTGGTAGGACAGGTAAGGGACCCCGGAGAAGTCGTGTGTGAAGCTGTGAGAGTGAAACCAAATGTGCAGCAATGATCCTGGGGAGCCGGGGATGCCAGGGATGTGGACTGCTAGCAGACGAGTGGGGCTCTCCCAGGAGGGAGCCCGTTAGGGCTGCAACTGGTGATGCCATATGAGCAGGGCCGCCCGAGCCCACCGAAGCCCACATCCCACTCCAGCACCCAGCAGGTGAACAGGATTTAATGTTCTCTCTGCTGGGCTTCAGTCTCGCTTTGGATCCACTTCTCTCCATTCCCCTCCTTCCCTCTTTTGGAATGGAAATGCTTACCCTACCTCATTATATGTTAGAAGTGTTTAATTTTCTTTTTTATTTTTGTAGGGACTCTTAGCCAAGAGTTTGCTTTGAGCCTCACAGAAGACTATGGACTTAGAATTTTCAGCAACACTAGAATTATTAAGGTTTCAGTAGCACTTAGAGATGGACTAAATGCATTTTGTGCAGTGAGATAAACTTTGGGGTTTGGGCTGGAAAGTTGTAGTTTAGATCTAGAATGTCTCCCAAATTCTCATGTGTGTTAAAGGTGGACAGATCATGGTGGTACCAGCCGCCAGTGGATTAATCTACTGAGTCCACGGCTGAACATGAGGCCAGGAGGTGGGTCTTGGGTGGAGGTGGGTCCCCGGGGCTGTAACCTGGAAGGGTGTTGTCTTAGTTTCTTTTCTCATTGCTGAGACAAAATACCTGACAACCATAGTTAAATGAGGAAGGTTTATTTAGCTCGCAGTTTATAGAGGTTTCAGTCCATAATCAGCCATTCCAAGGCAGACTAGCTTAGCAGAAGAGACAAGTTCACAGTGGTAGACTGCAGTAAAGCAACAGAGGAGAGAGAGAGGAAACAACCCTCTTTCCAGCCTTTACACTGTATGCAGCTGCCCACCATCATGTGGGTGTAGCACTCACAGGCTTAATGCCACTGCTGAACCATGAATCAGTCACAAACGATAGATTCAGTCCCTTCTCGTGACTGCATGAGCAGCTGGGGGACATCAAGACACAAACCATAACAAGTGTTTCTGGTCTCCAGCTCCTCCCTCTTCTCTCTGCTTCCTAGATGCCATGAGTTAAATGGCTCCCCTCTGCTGTGCCCCTCTACCCCGCCAGTCTGCCTTGGAGCCAGTTGATCATGGACGGAAAGCATGAGCCAAAGCAAACTTTTCTTCATTGAAGTTACAGGTTTCAGGTATTTGGCCCCAGCAACAAAAAGTGACCGATACACAGGGTCAGAAGGGACAGATGAGAAGTGAGTATACTGCCAGGACCTGGTTTTCACTAAAAGGGATCCCAGCAAGCAGTCTGGGGCTTTCCATCGCATGTAACTGCCATGTTCCATGTTAGTGACTTTTAAAAAAAGATTACTTCTCAATCATTAATAAAAATAACTGTGTTTTTATACCTAGATTTATTTTAGGATTAACATTTTTATACCAACTGTGGCCAAGAATAACTTTCAAGTTCTTACTGCTACTTTCAAGCAATACCTATATTTAAAATTTAAATTAGAAAATCATAACTGACTCAACTTGCCACCCAAATAAACTTTTAAAACTAGTCATTACTCTTGGGGTTGGATGAATAGCTGTGTCTTGTGCAATCATCAAACCCTGCAGAGCTGTCCTTAAATCCAACCTGAATTGTTACATTTGGAAGTGCTCTCAGTTCGGTTCCAGAGCTGCCTCCCAAGCAGGTCTGGCCACGTGTCCAGGGATTCTTGGCTTTGTTTTCTCTTGTTTCCCTAGTTGTATTCCCCACGTCCTTGCCAGACGGGTCACACTCAGGCTCTGACAGGACACCATCACCCTCTACGTGCATCTCCAGAAGCTCTTGATGTCTGCAAGACAAAGCCCCAGCTGCCCCTCCCCTCCCACTTCTCTGCTCCAGTTTGGCTGTCCTAGTCTAGTTCCTGAGAGCTGACAACCACCACCATCGCTTCACACTGCTAAGCCACACAGCGTGGGCAAACGTGAGTAGAGTGGCGCTTTCTGTGGCCAAAGCAGGGAGTAAACCACCTGGATGTGTGTGGGATAAAATCAAATGAAAATCATTCACCATCGCTGCTGTTTGTTAGGTCATACTTTTAAGCATGATTTTTGTGCAAAAATCCGGCAGTGGCATCGAAGAATTGAAAACACCAAAGAAAGCTTAAGTCCTGGAGTGTCTTTTGGGTCAGACATCATACCCAGGGTGAGCCAGTGACTTTGAACGTTTCACTTACATCACCAATCACAGACAGAGCCGCTAATGCTGCCAGAGCCCCCAGCATGGCTGCCAGCGTCCTGTGAACAATCTGCAAGGAAACAGGAAATGATTTCATTCCGGTCCACAAACAGTTTGACACACACAGAAGCCGGTATTGACACTAGTGTCTCTATTGACTACTGTATGCTGTATCTGTGAAAATAAGAAAAACAAGTCAGGAGTGTCAGTGTTTCAGGGTCTAGACCCCTCACAAACACCCAACCACCACTGCTCTTCCTTTGAATGAAAGCGTTCATGTCCTGAAAAATTAGATGACCCTGATAAAACAGCAGAAGGTTGTATGAAGTATGTTCTACAAAGTGTGCTCTACAACCTGCAGTGAACTGTCATTAATTATTTACTGTATAATCCCAAGACAACTGAACCATTAGCTCAACAACATAAATTAACTCTTCCCAATTACTAAGACTGTCATTAAACCAAAACACACAAACACTTCATCTAATTGAAACCCCAGTGTTCTTGCTGCCTCAGGAAAGGATCTTTCCTATTTAACTATAACTCAAATGGATATGAAATTTCTAAGATGAACTGTGAGGAAAGGCAATGATGTGAAGGAATTGGAGCCCTCAGACATTTCTGATATGATTGTAAAATGGTTTTGCCACTATGAGAAACAGTCCAGCGGTTTCTTTAATATGCATTTACCAATAACTTGACAATTCTACTAGGAACCTATGCAACAGAAATGTAGATGTCTCCACACAATACAGCAAGCTCAAAGGCACAAGCGCCTGCCAGACAAGCACAAGGTCACGAGTTTGATTCCTGGTAACCCCCCAAAACCAGAAACATTTCTAATGTACATCCACGATGAACAGATGAATTAATGTAATACATTCTATAACATAGAATTTACACAAAATGGAACTTAGTAATAAATTTTAAAGTGAACTAGATGAAAGAAACCAGACACAAAAGCTTGTGTGTTGTATCATTCCGTTCACAGAAACTAGAAAAGGAAAATCTAGAAAAAGCAGAGTTGCCTAGACTGGAGGTAGCAATAAAGATTGACTAAAAATATACGTCACTAGGGTCCTCAGGGGGTTACAGGATAGTCTAAAACTAGACCATGAAGGTGATTGTTGCAAAACTCTAAATTTAGCAAAAATAATAGTACACTCCCAAATTGTGAAATTATGGAATTCAATTACACCTAAATAACACTGATTAAAATACAACAGGAATGTGGTGAGACTGAGTACAGAATTAGAGATCAACAGACAGTGTTTAATTATTAATACCACAAAGTAGTTTTAATTCAATTATTTGATGGCTTCTTCCTCATAGAACCTGACATTCTTATTAGTAATTACGTGAAACTCAAATTCTGAATAAAATCATTTCCTTCATATTTTGTACTTCTAGATTTAAAGGTAATTTTCAGTTAATTTTATACCAAGTATTTGATTTTTCACAATTTAGAACTGATATATTTATTTTATTCTTTTTAAATTTTATTTTAAAGAGAACAAAACCAAGCAAAACAGAATAAAGTCAATCACAACAAAACAATGCAAGCACTACAGGATTTCAAAACAAGACAATAGGAAATCAACAATGGCTACTATAATGCCTCATCTCCAAAATAGCTGCCCATACCATCAGACATAATAAAATCAAACAAAACAGAATAAAACCAATCAAAACAAAACAATGAAAGTGATACAAGACTTCAAAACAAGATAATAAGTCAACACTGGCTACTATAATATATCTTGCTATCTCCAAAATAGCTGCCCATGCCATCAGATATAATAGGATCTAACAAAAAAAAAAAAAAGAAAAACACAATAAAACCAAACCAAACCAAACAATGAAAATCGTACAGGACTTCAAAACAAGGTAGCAGGAAATTAACAGTGCTCACCACCTTTCCTTTTTAGACATTTCCTCCCCTTTCACCTTCACAAAATCTACTGTGCATTTTGGATCCCACTAAATTCAGAGGGTTTTTTTTTTCTCTGTAACTTTAAAGGTAATAAAACAGAGCAATAAAATGATCAAACAGTGCCAAGACACAGGAAATCTACAATAGTTCCTGTGGTGCCCACGGCTACGCTCTGGGCAGTTGCTGGGCTTTAGGCCTGCAGAGTCCCCACACAGTACAGCCCCGGGTCAGGGGCTGCTCTCCCCTCGCAGCCTGCCGCTGCACTGCCTGGCTTAGCTTCCCTCCTTGTTCTCCTGTCCCCTCTCCAGATGGCTCGCTGGCGGGGGCTCTGCTTGATATATTTATTTTAAATAAAATATCTAAACACCAATAAATTGTTACCAAATTCTAGTAATTCCTTCCATCACACTTGACACTTTCTTATCTGCTGCTGACAGAGGCCACAGGAAGGGGCCGGGCAGGACCCCCTCCCAGCCCTAGACCCCGGAGACTGCACTGGCACTCAGCCGCAGAAGGTGGACACAGCCAGGGCGTCCTCCCCACATCCCTGAGGCCTTCACAGCACCTCGCGCACAGCCACGCCAGACGGTCCCAGCCTGCACACATCTTTGAGTCATAGTTTAATTTCTGGCGTTCCATTAACACTTCCTGAGTTGAAATATGGTGACAGGTTTGCAAATACAGGCCACCGAGGCAGGGAGGAGCTACAGCTCAGAGGTGCTCTCCAGGAAGACTACCGGGGTGGGGCTGGGACTGGCTGGGCAGTGGAGCACAGGCCTAGCACAAGTGAGTCCTGGGGCTCAATCTCCAGAGCAAGGACAAGAAAAATGGAATAAAACCTGGTAAACTAAGTGACCTGAGAAGTCAAGGAGATTCCTTCAGGTGATTAGGTACATCCCTAAATCACTATGAGGAAGAAAAATAACTTCTCCACTATGAGGAACAATAAAAATGTCAGGTGAGTCAAAGATGGTAAAATCAATACCAACACTTAAAAGGTGTTTTCTTTTAGTTTAAGAGAAAAAAGATTCAGGAAAGAACAACAAAATCATAACAGAGACACAAAGAACAACGAACCCAAAACAGTAACAATATAGGCTTTCAAAACAAGATGATAGGAATTTAACAATGGTGGTAATATTGCATATTGCTATCTTCAAAAGGGTTGCTTAGATTACCAGATATAAACGTGCAAAATTGATCTAACCATATGAGTATCTGTTCTTTTCCAAAACTACAGAATTAATAGTATAATCAACTTAGCGTTCTCATGTATACATACAAATTCATGTCTTTCTCCTGTCCCCCTATCCCACTTTGAGAAGTGTCTAATCCTTACACAACATTTATTGTAGATTTTGGACATTATTTGCTCTTTGAGTTTCTTAAACTAGTGCGACAATATGGTATTTACACATGTGAGTCTGATTTATTTCACTTATGAGTATGGTCTCAGGTCACAGTACCTATGAAACCTTGATGCAATCTTTCTTTATAGCTGTTACTCCATTGTATTAAAAGAAACCACAACTTTTTCATTCATTCCAGATTTGAAGGGAATTGGGGTTGTTTCCAACAAACTGTGCTGCTATAAACATGGGTGCACATATATCACTATAGTATGTTTTCAATTCTTCTGGGAAAATGCCCAGAAGCAGGATAGCTGGGTGAAATGGAATCCCTAATCCTAGCTTTTTGAGGAATCTTCACACTGATTTCCACAGTGGTTGCACCAGCCTACACTCCCACCAACGTGGAGAAGAGTTCTTTTTCCCCACAGCCCCTCCAGCATTTATTATTGATTGATTTCTTGATCTCGGCCATTATTTCTGGAGTGAGAAGGAATCTCAGTGTTGTTTTAATTTGCATTTCTTGAGTGACCAATGATGCTGAACTTTTTTTCATATATTTATTTTTCATTTGCATTTTTTTCATCTGAGAAGTGTGTATTCATCTCAGATGCCCATTTTTTGGATTGGGTCTTTGAATTTTGGAGGCCTGATTTTTTTTTAACTCTTTATATGTTCTAGATAGAGTCTGAGGGACAGTTGGCTAAGATAGTTTCTCAACTCATGGGTTTCTTTTCACTGTGTTGGAGATTTCCTTTGACATGCAAAAACTTTTTAATAAGACCAGACCCTAGTTGCTGATTCTGGGAAGTATTTCCCATGCAGTTTGATTTTTATTCATGAATTCTCTGCCTAACCTTATGTCTTCAAGATTTCTACCTACTTTGTCTTCCAGCAGATTTAGTGTTTCTGGTTTAATATTTAGATCTTTGATCCACTTTGACTTTAGTTTGGTGCATGGTGATAGGATAGACAGAAGTCTAGTTTTAGTTTTTAGCATATGAAAAGCTAGTTTTCCCAGCACCACTTATTAAAGAGGCTGTCTTTCTCCTAGTGAATATGTTTGGCCCCTTTGTTGAAGATAAGGTGGCTGAGTGTGTTTGTAGTTGTGGTCATGTATTCTAATCTATTCCATTGATCTTCAGGTCTGTTTTTATTCTAGTACCATGCTGATTTCATCACAGTAGCTTTTAAAAAAAAAAGTACAAAACTTAACATAACAAAGCAGATCAGAAGATGTAAGTGAAACAGATTTCAAAGCAAGATAATAGGATATCTACCATGGCTACCACAATGTCTTTTGTTTTCTTCCAAATAGTTGTCCATATCTTCACGTACAATGAATTCATGCAAAACAAAATAGTATTAAACTAATCAGAACAGAGTGATGAAGGCATTATAGGCCTTCAAAGCCAGACAATAGGAAAATCAACAGTGGCTTCCATAATGTCTCTTGTTCTCGTTCAAATTAGCTGTCTATACGTTCGTGTACATTGAAATTAAACAATACAAAACAGACTACCACCACTCTGAACAAAGAATAATAGCATTACTGGATTTCACAGAATGATGATTCGGATTCAGCAATAGGTACCATACTGCCTCTTTTTCTTCAGAGTAGCTGTTCATTTCATCACACATAATATAATCAATTCTCATACACTGTTTAAGGGAAGTTCTACATATGTATAAGCCTCTACATGTATAACTATCCTTTCTGTATTAGAGGGGAAAACAAACCAAAATAAAACAAATTACTAGAAAAACATGAAACAAAAAAGACAAATA